CAATTAGTGTTTGCTTTAGTAGTACTACTTACAAGTTAATGTTTAAAATATTCAGTTGTGTTTTACACTGCCTAATAATGTCTTTATTCAATTACCTGACCGACCTGTGTACGGTACTGTTAGAAGTATAATTATGTTTAAGTTAGAGATAGGATTGGTTTAAACCACATGTAACTTGTCTTGTACTCCAAGTCTCTATCCCTCATGATGTACTCTATATATACCCCTATGAGGGTCAGATCAATAGAACAATAATATTCAGCCATCCTACAATTTTCCACATGGTATAAGAGCCATTAGACCAACGTCGCTCGATCCTTGGTCCTTCCACGACTTCCGCGGCATGCCGCCCCCGGGAGATTAATCTCCTCTTCCCGGGGGCGCGGCACCCGATCAATCAAGATCGGCTCATAGTTTAGATCAATTCCTTAGATTAGATCAATTTCCAAATTTTCATAGTAGATTGATTTTTTCTTAGCCACCAAATAAATCCAGCGATTTGCAAATCCGGTGATAATCAGTGCGAGATCCATCGTCGTGCGCCTCGAGCGGATCTACATCGACACACAGCCGGCCGGCGCCGCTCCGATCAGCCATAGCCATCTTCTCCAACAAAGACGCGTACCTCCTGATCACGGGAGGGTGATACTCTCTCGGCAGGAGCAGATCCCACGCGTCGCCTGCATGGAGTCATATGAGCGCTGGCCGGATCCATCCCGATCTCTGCCCGGCTGATACCCACGAACCAACCACAACTCCGGGCTCCATCAGCATCCATCCGGCGAAACACGAAGCAACCAGCAGACCCAGGTACGTCCATGCACTCAGATGAGGCTTCAATAAGGTCTGCATCGAGTTCTCCTGTACCGGCAGTATGCCCCAGTTTCAACATGAAGCACCAGGCAAACTGCACCGACCGATCTACGCCGAGCAAAGCAATTTACACTGATCTAGCCGGCCGGTACGCACCGGCGCCAACTGCGTCGACTCCACGAGCATGCATCTGATGTGTGACTCATGCGAGCGCATCGAGACCTGGAGGGCGGAACGTGCAACCGCACACCTCCTGTCCATGCGCATCCATCGACTCGGCTTCAGCTACTCGACGCCTCGCCTTCAACAACGGGTCACAGGCACCTACATCAGCACTTCTGCATCGCCGGGCTATGGATCTAGATCTGCATCAACCAGACAACGACATGCATCTACGTAACCGATCTTCATCTGCATTGACCCCGAGCCGAACGACATCAACCTGTACGACTGCGCCGGGCTATGAGCGAACATACTTCTTCAGCATGGCGCGACATCGACACTTCATCGACATGCCGCTGCAATGTTATCGCCGACACTTCATCGTCAAGGTTTTCATCAACGTCGTCTTCACCAACATCTTCATCAACACACCGCCGCCGCCTCGTCCACAAGATGGACACCTAGCGTCCTCTGACGGACTTTTCTGCAAGGCGCGACCTCGACGACGGCAATGACCGCGTCACGACGACGGCATCTTCCGCGTCATCCACGACGGCACGACTGCATCGACACGGCGTCACTACAGTGACGACTCTACACAGCCACACGGTTCTGGCAAAACCGATGTGTGCTCGATGGGCTTCCTCCGATCTTGGCAAAATCGGTGGACTCATCGCCGACGGCACCCTCTGACATCCGCAAGGTGCATCGTCCATGTCTGCAGCTCCGTCAGAGCGCATTTTTTTGCGCCTCCGGCTTTGTGCGGCTTCATCATCCACGACGACCACACCATCGACCATGACTACCTCGACCATGGCTACATCATCATGATCGGCTACCTCGACATCGACATACGGGGCTGCGTCTACAACAACTCATCGGCAACAACTCCAGTCAACAGCGTCCGCCTCGTCATTTGCGTCCACGACACTCCCGCTGTGACTGCGGGAGGGAATAGAGGAGAAGGCAGGAAGGCACCAGAAGGGGACGCAGTCACCGCCCTAGGTGCCGACCCATCAGAGACGCAGTTGATGATGGTGCGGCGGAGAAGACGACGAAAGCACAAGAGTTCAAATTCAGTCGTCATCGTCCGCTTCACTCCCGCTACGACTGAGGGGGAATGTTAGAAGTATAATTATGTTTAAGTTAGAGATAGGATTGGTTTAAACCACATGTAACTTGTCTTGTACTCCAAGTCTCTATCCCTCATGATGTACTCTATATATACCCCTATGAGGGTCAGATCAATAGAACAATAATATTCAGCCATCCTACAATTTTCCACAGGTACTGATATCATGTTCAAGAAGATCGGCATCAATATAAGAGCAAATGTAAAATTCTACTTGTTACCAAGGGAAATATAAATAATAGTAAGTACAGAATATAACTACCATATTAAAAATCGGATGACTAATCAATATTTAAAAGGTGAACTCGCTATTTACAACATTGTGTGTTGCTATGATGTGATACAACAAACCATGGTTCACAGGATTAATTTGTCATTTAGCTAATATAAGTTTTCCTAAGCTTATTATCTAGCAATTAAACATCGCATTCTGTTGAGTTGAGTTCAAAAATTAACAAGAACATAAATGAGAGATGAGTAAAAGTAGTACTAGACAACACTAAGAAATGCTACAAGATGGAAGATTTAACATTAACATGAATGGCAAGGATAATCACATAACATGAGACTTAAGTACCTTTTGATGGCATGCTTATCCAAGTACATGGTGAATTGGCTGGGGATGAAGGAGATGGAGTTGACGGAGACGGTGGTGAAGAAGGTATTGCGGACAATGTCATCCCAGGTCAGGTGTTCTTCTGCTGCTGCTTGGTTTTCTTTTTCTTCGTTGGTATAGAGGGTGACTGCCCCAAGCGCCTTCTTCCTCAGATTGACCTCAACCAGCCAGAAATTGCGGTCTCTATTATTCAACACAAAGCAGACAACATCATGATCAACCAAGTTCATGATAGGAAACTTTGGCAGGAGCAGTGGTTGGCGCTTGTCAGAGGAAAGAACATTCTCGAGCTCACGGGCTTCCATGGTGGCATCTTTTTTCCATATCCCGTTGGACAGATTCCATGTCCTGATTTTGAAATCAGAAGAATGTATATGCACGCTGCGGCCTGCAGCATCGCTGATACAAATGAGCTTAACCATGCCGCTGTCAGTGACACACACACGGCGTGCTGGGTCAGGGACCCCTGGGTCAATATAGAGACGACGAGTGTCCAGATCTGCTGGCATCGAGACATAGCGGGGCGGCCTTGTAAGATCTCCATGCACGGTGACAAACAGCAAGCCGAGGTAGCAATCGACCCAGCACAAGGAACCGCCAAAGGGGATGACGGAGTCGGTATTCCAGGAACCATACAGAAAGTCAGGGACGCCCTTGCCATAAGGCATCTGCAGCGTCCTGAATTCCCATTCCATGGCCTTCCCAGGTGCATGGTGCAGCAGGCAGAGCTCGCCCCATGAATAGAGCTCGGCCACCGTGAACTCCTCCTCGCCGTAGCACAGCAGGCCGATGTTATCGCTGTTCATCGTCCGCTGTTGCTGGTACCGGTACGGGAGGAAGAGCTTGTCCACTTCCGGGTTCACTTGCCCACCCTTGAAGCAAGGCGGGAGCCGCCTTAGGAACGGGCGCTTGCCTGGGCGGCCGGGGGCCGTGTAGACGAAGTAGTCCATGGGGTAATAGTTGGGGCGGCACTGGTCAATGTGCGGGACATAGGTCTGGAAAAGTATGGAGCGGCCATGAGCCGCGAGGACGGAGGGCGGTTCCAGCAGCTTCATCTCTGGCCTGAGCCCATCTGGAAAGTGGAGGTAGAGACGAGACACGGCGGGGGGCGGAGCGACCCTGAGGGAGACGGCGATGGGCCTACCGGTGCAGGTCTCGGAGACCTCCGGTGTCGTGCCGTCGGCGTCTGTGTCGTCGCCCGGCAAGGTGCAGTGGGCGATGCGATCCAGCATCACCCAGGGCAGGTCAGGGATGGGGGTGTCCGGCGGCTGTTCGTCCCCACCACCACCAGGCCGAAATCATTATTATGCAAACTTTATCACAAAATAAACTCGACATAAAACTATTTCACGATCTGATCTCTTTAGCAACGCCATAGCCCGCGGTGTTTCTGTCTAAAATGAAAACGCCGAGCTAGCTAGTGTTCTTGTCCAAATAAAAAACGCCGAGATAGCTAGCGTTGCGGACCAGGTAAGAAACGCCATAGGGCTTGCGTTTCTTCGCTGGCACCCAGCCCACCCGCTGCCCCGTCGGGGTCTTTCTCCTCAGCCGCCAGAGATGCCAGGCTAGAAACGCCAAGGTCGGCGGCGTTTCCAGCCTTCATAGAAACGCCAAGGTAAAAAACTGCTTCATAACCAGGGCCTAAACTCCAAGCCTTTTGACGTTTCTTAATTGGTCACAAATGCCATGAACTTTGGCGTTGCTTACTTGGTGAAAAATGCCGAGCGACTTCGACGTTTCTTCTTTGATCAAAAACGCTAGCTAGCTCAACGATTTTATGTTGGATAAAAACGGCGCGGGCTATGGCGTTACAAAAGGGTCAGATCGTAAAATACTTTCGCGTCGAGTTTATTTTATGACAAAGTTCGCTGAAAGGGTCAGAATAGTGAAAAAAGCCCCACCACCACGGCCGCCACTACGAGTCATGGCGCGCGGCGGAAGGCCAATTAAGATCCAGGGTTCGCCGTGGCCGTGTTTCGTCGGAGCCGCGGAGGAAAAGAAGGTAGGGCCGGCCCAGCCCAGATCATTGTCCGGCCCAAACCAACCCCTAGCGTGCAACAGAGGACCGAACCATTTCTCAAAAAAAAACAGAGGACCGAACCGAAGCGAACGACCCGTAGCTCGGTCTCGGGGTCCGGCTCCAACCGACCCTTCTTCCTCAATCCTCGCTACTCGGCGCCGGTGTCTCCTCCCCTTCTCCCTCCCCCCAAAACCCTACCTCCGGCCCTTCCTCCTCGAAAGGCAGGCGAAAAATTCGCGCGGGCGATCGGCCAAGGGATGGCGGCGGCGGAGGGGGAGACGAGCCGGCTGTTCCGCGTCCGGCGCACGGTGATGCAGATGCTGCGGGACCGCGGGTACCTGGTGCTGGACGCCGACGTCGACATGACCATGGGCGAGTTCGTCGGGCGCTACGGCGACCCCGTGCGCCGCGATGACCTCGTCATCAACCGCGCCAAGAAGGACAACCCCGACGACCAGGTGCGTCCCCACCTCCCCGACGATTTCCGTACTAGCTAGGGCGTCGGCTGATTGACGGCGTTGGCAATGCCCCTCCAGATCTACGTCTTCTTCCCGAACGAGCCCAAGCCCGGCACGAAGGTGGTCACCAGCTACGCCGACAAGATGGCGCAGGAGAACGTCCCCAATGGCATACTCGTAGTGCAGCAGGCGCTGACCGCCTTTGCCCGCAACAAACTGATCGAGACCGCTAAATTCCGGCTCCAGGTCTTCCAGGTCGCGCTCTACATTCATGCCTCGTGCTCGTATGACTAATATCCAGTGTCTCTCGCCATGGGAACCGGTGGCTGGCGTTTAATGTAGCGCTGTCCTGCAGGAAGGGGAGCTTCTTATAAACATTAAGAATCACGATCTGGTTCCTGAGCACGTGCTCCTCACACCGGAGCAGAAGAAGACGCTGCTGGAGAAATACACCGTGAAAGAAACTCAGGTCATACAAATTTGCCAATCCTTTGCTCACTGTAACTGACCTGATATTCTGATCGATGCAAGCATGACATTATGTGAAATGTATTCCTGTTTGAGCCATAAAGCAGTTAATCATTGTGAACAAACAATTATAGCTATAAACTGTGACCTGTATTCCAGCATACCTTCATGTACATATTCCAGATGGTTGGGTTGGGATAAAACATATTATTGATTTGAAAGAAAAGGTTCCGTCTACTTAAGCTATAATTCACCAACCAACTGGGGCATTTTATTTTATCCCATTATCTGGTTTGTGTAGATGGTTTTTTGTCCTGACAAGCAGCAGTTTTGCATGTTAGTATGCCACATAGGAGGCCAAGGGTTTTGTTAGACCCCATGTACCAGGATCATATCCCTTAATAACGCAATAGTAAGGACACAATCTTATATAATCCTACTTGCAGAACTACTAGGGCATACATATCCTGATGCATGCACAAATAGTAGATAAGCCATTTCTGATAATAAGATTCATATACATATGTGGATGAATATCCTGGCTAGCTGTTAATTTACTTTCGGTATGACAACTGTTAGGTCATGTTGGTTTCTTACTCTTAAATCATCTTGATTCAACAATTATGGTTGATCGTAATTTAGAAACATGTGTATTCTATATTGTCATGTGTAGAATCAGGACTAGCAGCAAACTGATCATGTGTAAGACCTTAGCTGAGATGCTACTTTGATGAACATAATATGCTGGTGTTGTGAAAAGCTGAGATTGTGAGACACAGGTGGTAGCGGGATAAGCTAGTAGGTTGGATACATCAGAAGCTCTTTTAGAACTTAAAAATGATGCTATATGGTCTGCTTCAGATGTGTTGCTTTCAGAGTTAATTTGTTGTTAAGGGTTCTTATATACATGAGCATTATGTATCCCATAGGTTAGTGGTCTGTGGGTGTTCTACTGACACTGGTCTGTTGCATATTTTCTACAGCAGTATTTGATCTGTTGGATAACGTCAGGACATGTGTACTGGAATTTGCAACACTCATATCAGTTTTGGTGTACTTGTTCGTTCTTGTGCGATGTTTGTTAAGTGTAAGAGGCGTAATGCTCTGAACTTAGTAGGAAGCTGCATTGGTTAAGTGTAGTGTTGCTTACCCCTTTCACTTGGTAGTGGTTGCACGTTTGAAAAGTTTGGGCACACATGTCTTTTTTTTTTGTGACAAAACACTAGGAGCTCTTCCAATCAATGATATAAGGCGAAATGTTGTATGTGCACTAGTAAAGAAAATGCAGATATTAGCTTTTATTGTTATAGTGGTACTCTAGGTTCTGATGATCCTGTGCTGTCTTGTGATGACGCAGCTGCCTCGCATTCAATATACGGATCCAATAGCAAGATACTATGGCATGAGGCGTGGACAGGTCGTGAAGATCACCAGGCCCAGTGAGACTGCTGGCAAATATGTGACATATCGCTATGTTGTCTGAGCTCCACTACATTCTCAAGGGTCGAGATGTTCTGCAAGCACTGCCAGTTAAAACTCCTAAGTAGTAGACACTTGTTTTCTCGAGGAACAGAAGTCCTTATAGAACCGCCTTAGTGCTCTGTCTTTACATCTGCTTGTCAATTTGGCATGACTCTGTTAGCTAGCATCTAGACATAGACAGCTAAATAGCTCTTTGCTAGTATTGCTACCCGAAATAGTTGGTCTAATTCGCGGAGTTCAACTTAGTGCTCCTGTATTTATCTGAATGGTATGAACATGCCTTCTGGGACCGTTGTTTGTTTGACTAGCAAAGAAAAGCTGCAACATCAGGAACGTGTGATATCTAACGCAGTAAGACGAGAATGACAGCAGTGTGGTGAACCTGCAGCTAATTTGCTTTTACCGCCACTCCAGCTTGATCAACGAACCTTTTTCTGTTAATAGTGCAATTGTACAGATAAAACAGCCATATGCAGAATTTACAAAAAAAACTTAAAAATAGATAAACATTGAGATTCTCAAGCATTTTCATCTCGAAAGATCTAATCCATTAACTTCAGAAAATATCTACACGGAGATTTAAGGAAACCAGAAAACAAGCCTGCAAATGCTAACAATTTTTTTAGCCACTTTGCAATAGCTAGGCAGGCACTGGAGGCATTAAAATAGTGACAGTGTCGTAAGTATTCCAACACCAACAACAGGCAATGGGCCACAAATGCCAACAAGGATTCTCCAACAACTTTTGAGCCACCTTTTTTACTGTTGAGAAACCAGTAGCACACCCTTCTTTGGAACAGAAAATTGACAAAAAGACACTCACTCCTTTTGCCTTTCTCCAAAGGACAACTCTTTAGTTTTGTCTTTGCCAACAACACACATTTAAGTCCCACTTAGACAAAATAACACAATTTGAGTTAATTTTCTCCGCATTTTTATGACCACACCGTCATATTATTTTGAATGGAATCTACTAAGATGCTAAGCTCACTATATTTTGAGCATCCTGGTCCGTCGGGGTCAATGGGGTCACTGCGGCCCGCCTGTAAGGGTGTATGTAGTTGGTTGAGGGTTCCTGCTTGTTTTAAAATATTTATTTATTTATGCACATTTTAATTCATAAACATTTATTAAAATTAGTGAGCATTAAAAATACACTGACCATTTAAAAAATCCCCGATCATTTTTTAAATTTATGTGCATTTTAAAATTGTGCTACTTTTCTATTAAGATATTAAGCTCACTAGATTTGGAGCCTCCGTATATGTCGGGGTCTCTGGGACGTGCTTGTAAGGGTGTATATAGTTGGTTGAGGGTTCTTGTTTGTTTTACCTTTTATTAGTTTTCTTTCTTTGTTTTTATTATGTTTTGTTTTTAATTATTTGTTTTGCACAATTTAATTCATGAACATTTAATAAAATTTGTGACATTTTAAATATGGTGAACCTTTAAATGAAATCTTTGATTATTTTAATTCATAAAACTTATTAATTCATGAACATTTGAAAGTGCAACTATTCCCCGGGTGGTTTTGGTAATTCATAACAACGTATAGCTCATTGAACTAATATCCATTCAAGTTAGATATTTCAGAAAGTTCAATGATTGGCATGGCATGGACTAAAGATGTGGACCCCTCAAAATGCTAAGGACAAACATTGGCAAAAACTCAAGACTCTTCATTTTCATTTTAGTGATCCAAGATCACATTGAGTCCATAGGAAAAACCAATACTATTAAAAGGGGATTAGGTGTTGTTTAATGGCCTACTTGCTCAAAGTGCTTAGTGATATGCTCCAAAGCCCTCAACCACTTTCTCATTTCCAAAATATGTCCAAAACCTAAAGTCAAATTCGGCCCCATCGATTTGATCTGTCCGGCGCCACCGAGTTTTTTTGACATAGCCACTGCCAGAAACCCTAAACAATTCGGTCTCACCGATATGGATCTTGGTCTCACCGAGATGGCAATGCAAACTCTCTATTTCCCTTCGTAACGTTTCAGTCTTACCGAAATGAGCGATCTGTCCCACCGAGTTTGCAACGTAAACTCTCTGTTTCCCTTCGTAACGTTTTGGTCCTACCGAAATGAGCGATCAGTCCCACCGAGTTTGCCTGGCCAACTCTCTATTAACTCATTGCTGAAATTGGTCTTACCGAGTTCATGCAATCGGTCACACCGAGATGAGGTTTTGCCCTAACCCTAGCACATCGGTCCCACCGTGTTGATCATGTTGGTCCCACTGAGATTTCTAACGTTCACATTTTGAACTGAATCGGTCTCACCGAGTTCTCCTATTTGGTCTGACCGAGTTGGGTCAAATGTGTGTAACGGTTGGATTTTGTGTGGAGACTATATATATCCCTCCACCCCTTCTCTATTGAAGAGAGAGCATCAGAACATGCCTACACTTCCACTACTAATTTTCTGAGAGAGAACCACCTACTCATGTGTTGAGACCAAGACATTCCAATCCAACCACAAGAATCTTGATCTCTAGCCTCCCCCAAGTTGCTTTCCACTCAAATCATCTTTCTGCCATAGCCAAATCTGTGTGTGAGAGAGAGAGAGTTGAGTGTTGGGGAGACTATCATTTGAAGCACAAGAGCAAGGAGTTCATCATCAACACACCATCTATTACCTTTTGGAGAGTGGTGTCTCCTAGATTGGTTAGGTGTCACTTGGGAGCCTCCGACAAGATTGTGGAGTCGAACCAAGGAGTTTGTAAGGGCAAGGAGATCGCCTACTTCGTGAAGATCTACCCAAGTGAGGCAAGTCATTCATGGGCGATGGCCATGGTGTGATAATCTTTGTTGACCCTTCGTGGGTGGAGCCCTCCGTGGACTCGCACAACCGTTACCCTTCGTGGGATGAAGTCTCCATCGACGTGGACGTACGATAACACCACCTATCGGAACCACGCCAAAAATCTTTGTGTCTACATTGTGTTTGCCTTCTCCAAACCCTTCCCTTTACCATCATATGCAATGTTTTACTTTCCGCTGCTACACTCTTAGAATTGTATGTGTAGGTTGATTGCTTGACTTGTGCTAAGTTACTAAAATCAACCAAGACTTAAAATTGGGAAAAGGCTAGATTTTTATTTGGTCAAGTAGTCTAATCACCCCGCCTAGACCTACTTTCGATACTACAACATTCCTAAATATATG